TCCTCAGGTCGGCAGAACAATAGAGGAGGCACAGCCTGTGAGTCAAAATCTCAGTCAACTTTACCCAGAGCAAACTCACCAGCAAATTCAAGGACAGCATCACAGGGGCTCGCTGGAGAGATATTAACTCATTCACTAGGGGAATGATTCAAGGTGTAGGGTTAGATCTTCCTGCAGCTTACAGACTCACTCTCATCGGAAGTGACAAGCCCACCCCAATTCCCACAGGAATTTGGGGTCCCCCCCCACCTGAAGGAACAGTTGGTCTTGTACTGGGAAAGGCTGATCTAAATTTAAAAGAAATAACTGTTGTGCCTAGTGTGGTTGATGGTGATTGTTGGGATGAGATATAAGTTCTTGTATGTGATATGTATCTCTGGATTTTTGAACAGGGAGACTACGTGGCACAGTTGATTTTGTTACCTACAGGGAAGCCTTCTTTTGTTAAGTATAGACAGCTCAGGAGGGAGCAAGACCCTCAGAGCAAAACTACAAAAAGATAAATCTATTTTACACAGGAAGTGACTAAAAACAGGTCTATATTTTATAAAAATTAATGGGAGATACTTTGAGGGTCTGATAGACACTGGTGCAGATGTGTCTGTAATTACATTAGAACAATGGCCTGCCATGTGGCTGACAAAATGGGTTCCCACCTCCCTTATCGGACTGGGGACCCCTCAGCATATTTTACAGAGTGCCTCACCTTTGCCTTATGAGAGACCAGACCAACAAAAAAGGTTTCTTTTTACCTTATATGGCATCTATTCCAGTTAACTTGTGGGGAAGAGATTTGTTACAAAAGTGGAAATTAATGCTGCCTAGCAATTCTGATTTTAAAGCTGAACAAACAAGTTCCAATTTGGAAACTAAACAAATAGATTCAGATTCTAAAATTAAGAAAATGATGATTAAAATGGGATATCAGAGAGGCAAAGGACTAGGAAAAAACTCACAGGAAATGAAAAAGCCTGTTAAGATTATACCTTAGAATGACAGGCAAGGTATTGGTTATCAGCAGGTTTTTTGACAAGGGCCATTGATGCTTCTCCCTCTGCAAACAGCTGTCTTTACAATGGAAAACCAAGGAGACTGTTTGGGTAGATCAATGGCCCCTTAAGAAGGAAAAGCTAACTCATTCACACAAATCATTTGAAGAACAATTACAGCTAAGACATTAGAAATTTCAGTTAGCCCTTGGAACACTCCTGTCTTTGTTATTCCAAAGAAGTCAGAAAAGTGGAGGTTGTTACAGGATTTAAGAGCTGTAAATGTCTACTTACTTCCCATGGGGGCGCTGCAGCCAGGACTGCCAAATCTTACTGCAGTTCCCAGAGTCCCGCCTCTCATCAAAATTGATCTGAAAGGTTGCTTTTTTTAACATTCTTGTTTTTCCCATGCTATATTCCCAGACTATATTTTTGCCTTTTCTGTACTTATTTTAAATTTTAAAGGATTAATATAGCTAATAATATGGGAGGGAGGTTATGCTTATGTCTTAACAGAAGAAAGATCCACAAGAAATATACAGCATTGGTGACAGGCACAATCAATGCTGAAGACAGCCTTATGTGAGTACTCAGTCAACCTGGGCCCAGAGAGATCTGCCTATCAGCCAGAAAATCGACCACCAGCTCCCATAAGAAATCAGGAGAGAAGACAAGTGATCCAGTGGAGTGACATCCAAGCAACAATTCATAAGGCTAAAGATATAGTCACCAGAGGAGAATTCCACCAACCCCTGAAAATCTTTTGGTTTCCTTAATGGCCCTGCTGGCAGTATCTGTATGTATAATACCTGTCTCAGGATTGGAGTAATGGACTTATGTCCCTAACCCACCATTGCTTTAGACCCATTACTTGGGCAGATTCTCCACCTGAGATTTATCGTGAACTGGACTTGACTTCCTAAATTGTGCCATTACAAGGCCACTCATTTCTGCATAACTCCCTTGTCTTATAACAAATCTATGCATCCCTGGAAGGATATAAAGAAACATGTACAAGGAGCTATCCATCAAAATATTACTATGGATACTGACACTCTCCAGAAGGAGGTGTTGTCAATGTCCCAAAAAACTAAAAAATTTGATGAACAATTTCAAGATTGGGACAAATTTTGTGATGCTTTAGATCAATTAAATCCATTCAACTCTCTGAAGGCACATTTCTGGCTTTATGTTGGTATTCTTGGAGTAATCTGTGTGTTTCTCCTTATTCTATTCATAGTCTGTCAAAGAGAAACCAAGATGGGCCAACTCCTAGACAAATTCAACCATGACTTATCCTGATCCAGCTGTTGTTACAAAAACAATAAGGAGGAGATATTAGAAAGCACTACAAAGTGGCTCTGAGCAGGATATAAATGTTACCTATTGGCTTTCTATCTTTATCTGTGAGTCTGTCCTAGGCCTAGGCCCCTTGCCTGGTGATGGAAGTTGATTCATAGTAAGTGAACCTCTATGAATCACTGATCCTGGCTGAGACCTGTAGTAGCCTATGAAGCCAGAGATATCTCAAAGGGCACAATAAAGCCACAGCTGCGGACACTTTGCTCAAACATCAATTAAGTAGATAGAGAAGGCAGCTGCAGGAATTACTCCTACAATCTCACTTCTACCATATCTTCATGACATGACAGTTCTGCTGAATTGACTTGCTTCATTACATGGAGATGTCCTAGAAGTGACTCCGAAGGTCCTGCTCATTGCCTGCACTTTCCTCAGTTTCCCCATCCTTTTTGGACCTAATAAAAATGGGCAGTCTAGAGAAGTCTTTGTCTTAGCCCTCAGAGTCTCGAGCTTAGCTAAAGGGTTTTGACCCTCTTGGAGCCCTAAAATCATACCACTTGTCTCATTTTATTTAAGCCTTCGCTGTACATTTGTTTGGGAGATTGGGGATCCAGATCAGGATGAGATATATGTCCCACACAGATGTTTCTGAGATTTTTTTTCCTCCCTTCAGGTAAGACAGGCTAGCATGGACCTGACTGTGTAACTTCTCTCCCCATAATTGGATAAGGCTCTGTTGGTTTTTTCTCATGTTGGGTTGGATTTATTGTAGAGAATGCCCTGTGTGTTTTTCACACGAAAACTTTCCTTCCTCCCCTGGATAAACAAGGGATTTTTCTCCAGTTTTCATAAAATCCTGGTGGGGATTTTGGAAGTGAAATCCAAGCAAATGTGGCTTCTCCCTAAATCAGAGCCCTGGGGGACTTTTAACTCTCCAACCAGACAGCAGGAATTAAGCCCCAGTATGTGTTCAATGTTTGTATGTTTCTGGCCCCAGTGGACTCTACCTCAGGTGAGCAGCCAGCTCCCCTCACCTCTTCTGCCCCAGGTACACTGTCCACAGGCTTCCCACAGTAACCACCCCTCTCTGTGCTTTAACCACCTACACCTCTTCAGAGCCATAGTCAACCAGGATCCAAAAATAGTACATGGAAAATTACAGAAATAAAACACTAATGTTTTAAAAGCACTGCACATGAGTAGCATGATGAAATTTGTGCCCTGTCCTGCCTGGGATGCAAATTGTCCCTTTATGCAACTTATTCGCGCAATATAACCTGCGTGTACCTTAGTCACTTGGTCACCATCTTGGTTTTCAGGTTGACGGTCACAACACAGAAGTGCCTCTGTTCAGGTAAACCCGATTTTACTCATGGTTTCTGTAACTGTTGATTTCCCATCACTGGAACAAAATGCCTGACACCTGGCAACTTAAGGAGGAAAGGTTTATCATGGCTCATTCTTTTTGAGGCTGTCTGTGCAGGGTTGGGTGCTTCCAAAGTGAGAATGGTATGGTAGAAAGGTATGGTAGAGGAGAGCAGCTCAACCCATGGGAATCAGAAATCAGAGAGAATTAGGGAGAATCAGGAACAAAAACACGCCTGACAAATCATGCCCCCAGTGACCACATGTCACCATGAACCAGTGGATTAATTCACTATACGGAGAGCATTCCTGTGAGCCAATCACCTTCCCAAATCCCTACTCTGAACACTTGAGACTTTTGTGGAGCATTTCATACCCAAACCATAACAGCACCACAGCACAAAAATAATAACACCATAATAAATCCAAAGCACGGGGCCATGGATTTAGCTCATTGGCATAAGCACCTGCCTGGCAAGTGTGAGGTCATGAGTTTGATCCCTGACAGCAAAACAACAACAACAAATCCAAAGCACTGAATTGCTCCTGGCTATTTTAGTATTGTATTTTGTTAAAAACTATCTTACTGTTGTTTGTCCATTACTGTGCCTAATGTATAAGTTAAGCCCTGTCAAATGGGATAGATGTATAGGGATAAACAGTGAATATGGTTTGGGATTATCCACACCTCAGGGATCTCTGGAATGTGTGGCTTGAGGTTAAGGAGGGGGTCAGTGCATTCACCCATCTCAGTTTTTCAGGGTGGTAGGTTATCCAGTGATTGCAATTCTATGATTGATCTAAGAAAAGTAACTGAGTTTCAGGGTTTTTTTTTTTTTTAAAGCTTTCTTCTGTTGTTCTGAGATGGGGAGAGACAATTTTCAAGTTTCTTTTTTTTTTTACATTTTATATACATGTATATATATATACATTTTATATATGTACATTTAAATTCTTACAAGAATGCACACACTACCTGTTTCTGGCAATTAATGCCATTTATTTTTATTTTTTAAGTATCAAAACTATCCTTCCTCACTAGATTTCTTTTCCATATTATGTCTGATCAGTCTGTTCTGCTGTAAAGAGAAAACCTAGAATACTTAAAGTGAGTGTCTCACTACCAGCCTGCTTCTGTCAGCCAGCTTCTCTGCGGAGGAGAAAGTTAGCTTATGAACGACCTCTTTGCCTCTCTTGTTATTTTCATTTCAGTCCAAAGTTATTAAATTCTGTGTAAACGTAGCTGTTTTATTTGAGTGCTTTCAGAGTGTTTATGAGCAAAGGGATTAGCGTTCATTGGTGAATTATTTTGCCGTAAGGACTGTACTAACCATTCTTCAAACTTTATTGTGCACCAAATTACCCAGAGATTTGCTAGAATGCGAATCCTGGCTCACGGGGTCCATCTGGAGCTGAATTTCAGTGTTTATCAGTATGCAGTGCTCGTTCCGCTTGCCAAGGCCCCTGTGTCTGGATGAACAGCACCTGTAGAGGAGGATTCTGAGCCTAAGGGGTGGAGGAGACATTTGCAGAGCAAAACCACGTACCTGCCTTGAAACAGAGGGCTTTTCAGACTACCTGAAGGGTAGAAGAAACGGTGCCCTGTAATGTGATCACTGTCATCTTCTCCCAACACAAGCTTTCATTTAGGTATTCTTTTAGGACGCTGCTGTGGGTTGAACTTCGTCTCTCAAAAGAAATTGTGGCATTCATCCCTGGTACATATGAATGCTAACCTTATATGGAAATGCGATCTTTTCAGATAAAAGCAAGTTAAAACGAAGTCGTACCTGAGGAAGGTGTACGCTTCCCAACGTGAAAGGGGTCCCTATAAAAAGAAAGGAGACAGACAAACGTGGAGAAACCCACAGAAGACTGAGGCAGAAGCTGGCAGCTACAAGGCGAGCAATGCCTATGATTTCCAGAAGCCACCAGAAGGCAGGGAAAGGTTCCCCTTGGCGCCTTTGGAGACCTGGATTCAGGATGTCTGAATAGTAAATGTCTGCTGCTGGAAGCCCCCGAGTTTGAGGTGATGTATTACAGCAGTCCTAGGAAATGCATAAAACCACTGCTCACCACGCCTGGCTTTCTAGATTCCGGAAAGCATCTGTGCGTCCCGCGGGATTTTCATCAGACAAGTTCAGGGGCCGCTGAGATCATTTCAGACCCACACAAGCGCTCATCACGCTGTGCTGTTTATTCAGCATATGAACCATTAGACAAAAAAAGAGAACATCCACTATGTTAGCTTTCTGGTCCTTTAACAAAAGGCAATCGAGGTAATCAGTTCACCAGGAGAACAAGTGCACTTCGGCTTGCAGTTTTAGCTGAGTAGGCAGCACCACACAGTGGGCTTATGACATAGCAGAAACTTCCCACCTGCGGGTCAGGAAAAGAAAGAGGAAGTGAGAAGCAGGTGCTGGGTTCCTCCAGCCCCCTTCTTCAAGGACGCGCCCCAGCTCGCTGACACTTTCACTAGGCCCACCTCTTAAAGGTCCCTCCTCCCAATAGTACTGGGGGTCCAACTCTTTTACATGTGGACTTTTGGGGACGTTTAACAGCTCAACTATAGCACTTACATTATGAAGGTAAATCAACTGTGTTGTACGTTACAGCAAAGAAGTACTTTATTTTGTTTTGAAATAATTTAAAGTATTTGCAATTTACACACATAAAGTATTTTTCGTGCTAGCATATTTTACAAAAAACTCTCCCCAGAGGGACAGAAATATGCCTTGGACGTGTGATTAATTGCCTAGATATTTGCTTGGGAACTGCACGGCTAAGCAACTGTTTATCATCTTTTGCCTCTTATGACATTTAAAAAAGACAAAGCTCTTGGGATTGCCCTGTATGTGTTCCTCAAAGAAATCTAAGGTGGAGAAATTTAAAATTCAGAACCAGGTTTTATTTTGTTTCTCTTTTCAAATGGAGCCCTGTACCTCGGCTTTGACAAATGAAGAGAAAATAGACTAGGGATGAAATTTGCTCTGCACTCTCCATCCACAAGTCCTGCAGTAAAGGAGAAAAATGTGCCGTCTTACAGATTCACAGGAGGGATCACTTTATTAAGCTTGAAAGTGCCCTGGCACAGGAACTCATGCAGGACACAGCAGGGCACTCATCCAGCCTTGAGGCTCAGGCTCAGAAGCAGAGACAAAAAGCACCTGGCCTCTCCTGACGAGACTACTCTCATCTGTTGCTGCCAGCTGCTGCCTGGGGCTCAGCAGTGGCTGCTGATTATGTCACCTCCATGTGGCCTCTTCATGTGACTTCAGCTTCTGGGTCATATGGGTGCAGCTCAGTGACCCAGGTGTGAGTGACTTCCACGAGATACCAGTGAGGTCATGAAGCTACCCCTGATATAAAGGGGGAGGACAGCCTCTACCTCTCATGGAGCACCTTGAAGCCTGCAAATGTATTTCGGTTTAGATCCCAAAATACCCCCCCATCTGCTCTCCCCTCCTGGCTCCTCCCTTGCCTTGCCCTGCTTCTTGTCTGTCACCCTGTGCCATGCTGTAACACCTCGGGGCCAGCCGACTACAGACATGTGTGAGCCAAGATAAGCTCTCTTCCATTAGGTTGCAGATGTCAGGTATTTTGTCCCAGCAGTGAGGAAAATGAGTAAGGCAGGAAGTGTTCAGGAATCATCATCCTACCTCTGTTCCTCAGCTTTCTGTCACTGTAACAAAATACCTGAGATGATGAACTTACAAGGAGCCTTGCTTTCTCCACCCTTTTCAGGGTCCTGGTTGGTTGCTTGACTCCTCTGCTTTGGTCCTGCAGCAAAGCAGCACATCAGGGTGGGAGCAGAGCAGAACAAGCTACTCAGCTCACAGCGGGGCAAAAGGGAGGAAAAGAAGGGATGGAGTCCTGCTACCCCTTTCTGGGGCTTGGCCTTTCCAGTGGCCTTTCCAGTGGCCTTTCCTTCACTGACCCCCACAACCACACGCTGTGACCAAGCCTGTAGCACACAGGCTTTTGGAGAACTTCAAGATCCAGGGCTCAGTCCCATGCCTCAGGATGGCTCTGACATGCAGCTGAGAGACTGCAGAGTTTCCATCTGATTTCAAGTGAGACTGCATGTCTGCAGCACTGTCTCCTCCCCTGCAAGATGCAGGGTTATATTGGGCAGGCTCCACTGGTTCTTTGCAAAGCTATGGTTTTGTTTTTTTCCCTGTAGTTGTACCAATGGAAACATTAGAGATTCCAGTCTGAATTTTACAAAAATAATATCTGGGTGAAAGTTTCTGTGCTGCATTTAGGCGTCCATGGGAGAATGTACTGGAAGTACATGTATTCTGACTACTTCGATTCTAGCCACCTTTTATGAGAACACTCAGCACAGATGTCACATAGTGTCCATAAGCGCCAGATGCCATTTCCTGGCCTCATTTGCTTTCCATCCCCAGAGTGCCAGCACTTAGTGACCTTTGAGGGGGCTGCTTGGGCTCACGGCCTTTGCTGTGAAGACCTCCTTATCAGCCTCTTTTCTCCAGAATGTAAGAAGCAATGTTGGTGTGGTTATCAGAGCAGAACATGGACAAGGGAAGAGTGCCTGGCTTGACCAATGTGGAATCTCCGATGAGGGACATGAGCAGGCACGTTGGGGACATCAGATGACCCAGGATGCAGTGGGACCGCTATCGGTCCCGTGGAAATTCCAGTTTGTCGTGTGGTGGATGCAAAGCTCAGCGTGTCTCATGGGTCCTCACCTTGAGAGGACATGGAACCATTAGCTTTTCTCCGGCTAAGGAGGTGTCACAAAATATGCAGTAGCTGTTTAAACGTTACTGTAGTAGAAGACACATTGCTATTACTTCTCCTAAGGAAATTCTCTCCCTTTCTTGGGACACACTCGTCCCATCCTTCTTGTCACTTTCGGAAGCAGTGCTGAGCGTCCTCTTCCCCACCTACCTTCAGTTGTATGGTGATCGCTTTGTTGTCCAGAATTGATTCAAAATATTTCTCTTTCATGATCATTTTAACTTGGGGAAGAGTCAGAAGTTGCATGGGGCCAGGTCCCGGGGGAAAGGTGAGTGAGGACGCAGTGTCACTTTTGTGTGAGCTGCCTTTGTCCCGGATGACACTGGGCAGCAGCGGGACCAGCTCTGCCTCACACCTGGTAAGGACGCTCAGGAAAGAGGACTTCCGGGGCTGCTTCGGAAATGGGCAACAACCTCGGGGAATCCAAGTGCGATCCCTGGCAATGTAAATCTTATCCTAATACAGTTTTAAAGTTTTATTTAAACGTTTGCCATACTTGTTGGTCATGCCTGACAGGGATTTTTGAGAATGATGCAGCCAGTCCAGGGCGGTCAGAGGTCACGTGACCGAGCTGCTAGTGACCCAGGAGCCACCTGACCGCTGGGGGCCCTTCTGTCTCCTCCCACAAGCAGCTGGGTCTTGTGAGACTTTCCCACCAGGCGTCCACGCCTGAAACCTTAGCGGGATTCCTGCTCATCTCTTCTCTGCTTTCCGTGGCGGTTGTGACCCAGAGCCAGTCGGGCAAAGCCCAGTGCCAAGTGAGAAAGTGGGGCGTGGACAGGGTGAGGACGCAGAGCCAGGCCGGGTGCCTGCCAGGCGCTCTTCTCCCTCCCGCCTTGGAGGCGGTGCTCGGCCCGGCCTGCGAAGGGGAGGCGGCTCAGGTCCTTAGCGAGGGAGCCGGCGCTCTGCACCTGCGCGCTGGCACAGGCGACCCATGTCCTTGGGCAGGGCGCACAGCCGCCTGCCAGGCGCTGTCCGACTTGGGGATTTTTGCTGAGCTGATGGGTGGCCATTGTGCATCTCACTGAAGTTTTAATAGCAACTTTCATTCTCAAGAGTGAGACGAAACTTTTACTTTAAACTTTTTAAAAACTAGTGCACGTTTGCAGAACCTAGCGATCCCATTCACCAGGGGGAGCGAGTCGGGGACCCCACATCTTCACCCATCCGCCCCCTTCTCCTCCGTCCCACCTCCCTCCAGTCCTGGCCTTGGGGTGAGGGAAGTCCTGCCAGGGGTTTCCGAGCGGGGCTGACCCACTCTACGAAAGGGACCCCGAGGGCTGTTCCTGCATTTTAACTGCGAAACGGCTGCTGCGCGCACTGCAGCTCACCCAGCTTCTAGAGGTCGGGGGCCCGCGCAGTACCCACTCGTGTCCTGGGCCGCGTGGAGTTAGTGAGAGCCTTGGGCTGTGTGGGCAGCGGCTGGATGTCTCCACAATACATTGTGGGCCCCACAGCACGCGGTTCTGCTCCTTAGCACGCACCTGACCCCGACCCCTTAACTGGAGTAAATTTCACCTGATGTCTCTGACGCCAGAAACCCGAAGCACAAATAAAGGGAAAAGCAAATAGAAGACAGGTGATCGGACACATGGAGACCAAGGACCAAGGAGGGCGAGGGGGGGAAGCCAAGGACTTGAGAGTGAAATCCACTGTGTGTGCACCAGCTGTCCGCAATGAGGGGAACTGTGCCCTGCAAACACAGCCTGGTAAAAATAAAGATTGACAACTACTTTTTAAACAGCAGTTTACTCTGTGGGGGAAAGTGACTGGAGGTAGCAGATGGTTCTTCCCCTATGTGGTGCATGTTCAAAAAGCGGCAGAGAGGACTGTGTGTGGCGGTCCACACTTACAATCCCAGTACCGGGGAGGCTGAGGCAGGAGGGTCACTGAGCATTGGAGCCAGCCTGGGCTGCATAGCAAGTTCAAGGCCGGCCTGAACGGTGTGGTAAGACCCTGTCTCAGAAAACAACACAGCACAAAACAAAACATGGCACAGATACTGTGATCGAAAGGGGGGATTTCCCCATCAGCCACCTGTGCAGGCCCAAGCAACATCCTCTGACAAGGAAATGAAGCAGCTGGCAGGATCGTGGCTCATGTCACCTGTAGCAAAGCTAGCAGCAGGGATGGGGACTGATAATACTGGTCAGCAGTGGTGACATCCAAATTAGTGATTTTTAACACTCAGAGCAAAAGAAGCCGGCGGGCTGACTGGGGTTTCCCCTCAGTTTCTGTGCCCAGTCCTCTATTCCTCTGTATCTTTAATAAGCTACACAGTTGGAAACGAAAAGCTATGTTTCTTGCTTTGTTTTGTTTTTGAGGCAGTGTCTCGCCATGTCATCCAGGCTGGCATAGGACTCACTATAAAGCCCAGGCTGGCTTTTTGAACTCGGGTAATCCTCCGGCCTCAGCCTCCCAGGTACTGGGATTACAGGTGTGTGCCACCATGCCAAACTGAAAATAAAACTTCTGGGTTGCAGATCTGACACAGAATGAGTGTTTTCATGATGCTCAGCTGTATGCAAAATGTTGAGGTTCTCTTTGAGAAAAGGTACTATGTAGAGACATACAAAATGGCTTGCAACAGCCTGGCTAGAGGAACAGCCCATAATCCACTAGTGCCTGCCTAAGGCGGAAATCCTGTTTGGGAAGAGCCATGGCTAAGGAAGCCAAGTCAAGGCCAAGATCATGGTTGGCCTTAAACAGGGCTCCTTTCACTGTGGCTGGTCACTGAGCAGTTCCCAGGGTGCAGCTTCTACCCTGCCATAGAGTGAACCCCACTGCACCGCAGGACCTTAACTATCTGTCTGCCGGGTTCCTGCTTGCTTGCAAAAGACTGGAGCGGGCATCAGGTGGCAGGTGCCGCTGCTGTCAGAGAACAGGGACAGTATGGGGCTTCCTATGCTTCTCTGGAAGGTGGTGCCACATCTCAGGGGTGGCAAAGTGGCCCTGGGAAATGGTGACTGGGCACAACCCAGCTAAGCCAGGGGACGTTAGGTGCTCCAGGCAAAGGGGAGGGTGAAGAGAGAAGGCCTGGAGTGAAAGGAAGGGTGTGGTTTGTGCAGGGAGCAGAGTGTGTGTGTATGTGTGTGCGTGTCTGTGTATCTGTGTATCTGTGTCTGTGTCTGTGTTTTCACAAAGATTCTGTCTTCATCTAAGCAACCCTGACCAGGCTGCCCTGAACTCTCCTTGAATGGGATTTGGTACAGGTACATTGTGTTTCCGAATTGTCCAGGGTCAGCAAGAATCCCAAAGGGTCAGTTTAGCCACTTACTGCCCCCCCCAATCTGAGCATCCATTTCTGGTCACTTGCCCTGCGAGAATCCTGCAAGTAGGTCAGCTACTGTCTCCCTCTGGTCACCTCTTGGTCGTTTTCTCTCCACTGGTCACTGCCTCGTGTCTTGGCCATAAATCTCCACTTCTCTTCACTGTATTTGAAGTTGTGCCAACCCCTCTGTCCTATTGCTGAACCCCATTTCTACTAGGCGTGGTAGCACATGTCTGTATTTCCAGCACTGGGCAGGCTGAGGCAGGAGGATCCCTGTGAGTTCCAGGCCAGCCTGAGCTACACAGTGAGGTCAAGGCTAGCCTGAATTGCGCAGTAAGACCTAATCTTAGGACGCTAAAGGCAACAACAGCACATCATTGTGATCCCTATTAGCATGGCACCAGGCTCAACTGTGCTTTAACAAGTGAATATTTTTAAAGTATTCATAGTTTTAACAAACAGACCATGGACAAGGTAGCACGTATTCCCTGCAGCTTTCCAGAGTGCCAAGTCAGGGCTGAATTTGTCTCACATGATTCAAGGGAAAGAAACTTCCAACCTACTAGATGCCTGGTATGAGTTTATGTTCTCTAAAATCGAAGAATGGGTTTTTAGGAACAATGGAGGTTAAGAGCAGAGCATATTTATTGAGAGAAAGAAAGCTTCTCTCTGTGAGAGAGAGATAGAGAGAAACAGAAGGAGTCCCAAGTGGGTTGCGAAAGACTGTCTTTTCTAAGGATTTTATAGAGCAAAACCACAAAATGAGGTGGGTCTAAGGTGGGGAAAACCCGGGGAACTTGCAAGGTAGGCATGAGGCGGGGACAGAACTGTGGTCAACCAATGAGATTACGAACGTAATTGCTCAGGTAAAATTGATTAGATTGGGATCCTATGGGGAGGCGTGAATACAGAATGAGTCTTTGCTGTCAGGAGCTGGGTTAGTGGTTCCCCTTCTGGCTTCCTCAGGGTGATTGATACCTATCTAGAATATCAATCCCTGATGTTTATACTTACGGTATATTTGCATGTGTTTTGTCTTTTGTTTTGAGCTCTGGCCCACAGCAGGAGGTGTCTATCTCCCCCCAGGTTGCAAGGTATCTGGTCTTCTGCACTGGCTCCTCCAAGGGCCCAGACCTGACTAACTGCCTAGAATATTTCTAACTCAGCTGCCTATAGCAGTTGGAAACCACCACCTTCACCCACAGCTCAGACTTCTCAGTGCAGTATTTAAAAACCCAACAAAGCAGAACCTGCTGGAGTCCACCAGCGGTGGTTGATTACCCGGCTGCGACTCTGGGCTGCAGGGAGTGAGAGTACCACCAGCCTGACCACCAGCTACTCCTGCTCCCTGGGCTTTGTGGGGCTACAGCTCAGCTCTAGCAAAAGCACCCCAGCTGTGGGGTTTACAAAAGGTGCAGTGCACAGGACCACAGCTGCCAAAATGAGAAATTCCATTCCCCTTCTCCTCCACCGGGCTTGTAAGCACTTTACAGGGTGACAAATGTACTCCCAAAAATCAGAGGCAGTCATTCAGGGGTGGAGCTCTCAAACCAAGCCACAGGCGTCAAGAATGCCTCTTGCTCCTGGCCGCCTTGAATGTTCCAGAAGTTTCTGGGTAGGGTTGCCGGATCGATTATAGCACACTGGAACTTCCAGCCAACATGAACTTAGAGATAAGCATCTCACAAGTATCACACTAAGCACACCTAATGGATGAGACATATCTATCTGTAGAAGTGTGCTGCTTGTCTGAAATTCATATTTCTCTGGACAGGCTGCATCCATATTGCTACACCTCTCGAAGCTGACTACATGTTGCTCCCTCCCTCCCCCTGCCTGCTTCTCTTTTTTCCTCTCTTCTTCCCTCCCTCCCTTCCTTCCCTTCCTTTTTTCCTTCCTTCCTTACTTCTTTTTTCCTCCCTTCCTTCCCTCCTTCCCTCCTTTCTCCCCTCCTTTCTTCCTGTGGTACTGAGAATTGAACCCAGGCCTTTTGTACAGAGAAGCCTTTTTTTTAAATTTTGAGGCAGGTTCTGGCTAAGAGGCTAAGTTGCCCACACTGGGCTGGAATTCCAATCCTCCTGCCTCAGCCTCCCAGACTCCTGAGATTCCAAGTGTGCATCACCAAGCCCCACTTGTTTTGTTTTGGTTTTGTCCAGGAAGCTGAGAGACTTCTTTCTGTGCCTGTGAGCTGCTGAGGCCCACTGATGATTTGTCACAGGTGACCCTCAATGCCTCACATCCTCTTCCGGCAGGAGTCCTTCTTTGGACCCCAACCTGCTGAGAGACAGAGAGCTTTCCCACATCCCGTTCTGTGTATTGTCCAATTTGGGGACTTTTGCAGAGCTGATGGGTGGACATTGTGCATCTCAGTGCAGTTTTAGCAACAACTTTCATTATCAAAAGTGAGAGCAAACCTTTCTTTTTTGAAGCTGGTTTTTTAATTAGCATGTTTGCAGTACCTAATGATCCCATTTACCATAGGGAGTCAGTCCGCATATGCAAAACATCTTCATTCTTCTTTTTTGGCTGTTGTTGTTTGTTTAGACACAGTCCTGCTCTGTAGTTCAGGCTGGCCTTGGATCACTATGTGACCTAGTGTGCCCTTGAACTCATGGCAACCTTCAAGCCTCAGTTTCCCAAGTGCTGGGATGACAGTCATAGGTCACTATGCGCAGCCTGAAATTTTTAAAGTAGAAAAGGATTGAAAAGCATAGGGAATTTTTTGTACTTTCATGGGTCATTTGGTATTATTTGGTTACTTGATGACAGCCATTCTTTCTGGAGTAAGATAGAATCTCAGTGGGATTTTAGTCTGCATTTTGTAGTGTGGAACATTTTTTCATGTATTTATTGACCATTTGTGCCTCTTCTGAGAAGGGTTTATTCATGTCAATTGCTCATTTCTGATTGGTCCTTTATTCTGGAGCTCTATGTTGAGTTCTGTATTCTAGATACTAGTCTGTCTGAGCAGTAACTGGTAATTTTTCCCCATTCTGTAGGTTGTCCCTTTACTCTGTTGGTTGTTTCTTTGCTATGTAATAAACTTCTTTTTAAAATTAGCTTAAGTTTTATAATTTTTATAAATTTAAGATTTTAAAATAGGTTTAAGAGGGCCAGGGATATGGCTCAGTGGCATAGCACCTGCCTGGCAAGCGTGAGGACCTGAGTTGGATTCATGGTATCAAAAAAAAAAAAAAAAAAAAAAAAAAAAAAAAAAAAAGGTTAAGAACCTGTATCCTCCACCTGATTTTTCTTTTCAATGCTTTACATTTGCCTTCTGTTATGGTTTGTGTTGGCTTCCTCTTAAGCCTCACGCAATCAGGGACGTGGCTCAATCTACCATTCGTGATTGGTTTGTTGTCAGGTCCTGGGATTGGTGGTGTAAGTGCTGCACCGCCCAGGGGTGGAGCCGGCATACAGTGCAAGGGTTAGGGTGGGGAAGAAGGTGTGGCTTTTTTCTCTTGCTGGCTAGCTCTGCTGTTTGTGGCTGCTGGGGATGGCTGCCCCGAAACGCCACGCTGCCTTGGAGCCAACTCAATATGGACTAAAACCCACAAGAACTGTAAGATTTCCTTCCTCCATTTTGAGCATCAATGATAAAAAAAATAACTAAGACACCTTCATTGCTAGGAGGGCTTTCATGTCAGGAAGGTCAGCCCTGTGTCTTGTGTGCGATCAAACGTCTTTTTCCGGTTTTCTGTGTCACTGTGCCTATGACTACGGATCCTCATTTGTTTTGTCCCATGGATTTGTCCGGTGCTTGGAGGCAAATTAAAATCCCTTCCTGCTCTGGGCTGTGACTGTGTCTCTCTGGTTTCCTAGACCTGTTCTGTGAACTCCACTGGTGGTCCTTGGTGCATGGAGAATGAGTTTATGTCACATTAAAGAGTTCTCCTGGGTCCCCTTTAAATCACGACCAGCCTTTCCTCTTGTTTGCATTTGCCAAACTGTCTTCTGCCCATCTTTTAATTTTCAATCCTCAGAGGCATTTTTACGGCCTTCCCTCCTAGGCATACTCTGGAGTTGGATTTTGCTTTGCGATCCAGTCTGAAGACATTTTCCTTTTAGTAGGTAACTGGATCCTATTTTTATCTGGCAATTAACAACAAGTGCTACCATAGTATTTTACGTTATATTTCAGTGTTTAAAAGTACTTTCAAAAAGTCTTCCATTCTATAATGTCTTCTTTGCTTCTCGTGTATACTTCTTATTTTTGAAGTGCATGCTTTTGTCTTATTGGCTACTTTTATAAGTACAGCAATGCAACAATTCTTTATTTTTCTAGATGCTGTGGATGGGGTGAGACACTTCTCTGTGCCTTTCTTTTGTAACTTGATTTAACCCGCAGTGCTGGCCCTTGGTACTGGGTCTGAGCCAGTCTTCAGCATCCCTCTGCTTCCTGCACGTCCCTGGTTCCCCCAGCTCCACCCCCAGTACTGGGGAGCTCTGCCTACCCTTCCCACCTTCTGGAAGGCTGGCAAGTTTGTCGGCAGTGTCCTCTCTTCGTCCACTGAGCATGTGGCATCCACCCTTCCCTTGAACCTTGGTCACCTTCCACCGAGCCAGGAGTCCCTGTGGTTTGGTGGCTATAGCCCACGCTCGAGAGTCCCTCGGGATCGCGTCATGGGTGAAGGTCCCCAAGTTTCCATGACTGCCAGGCACTGGCACCGGATGGCTTGTGTTAAGGAAGTTTCCTTGGCTACAGAATCCTTGGGCCCCAGAGCTCCTTCCTGTTGTCGCTTGTTTTTCTAGTTTGGAATTACTACTTCATTGTCTTCTGGTTTTAAATGGGGCCTTAGAGAGAACAAAAGGCAGGCTGCTGTTGCTATCTTCCTCCCTCAGAGTAGTCTGCTTATTCTCAGTCAGATGATTAGCCTGGATTTCTGATGAGGGGGTGACGAAGTATCGTCTTTATGCCAGTGTCCGAGCCTTGTGCTGCCATCCTGGAATACCTGAGACTGTGAGACTGAAGAAGAACAGAGAGTTAGTGTCTTTCAGCTGTGGAAGCTTGAAATCAAAGATAGAGAGGGAAAGAGTGAATAAGAGCTGAGATTTGCCCTTTTTATCCAGAACCCACTCCGTGGGCGCCAAACAGCCCCAAGGTGGTGGCATTCCTGAACTCCCTGGACCCTGACCCTGTGAAGTGCCACCCTGCACCAGGTTAGGTTTCCAACATGTGTGTTCAATCAAAGCCACCAGGGAAGCGCTTCAGTGTTTAAACTGCGCTAGTATGCACGTTCCATGCCACTGTCATTGCTGTCACTGTTAGTGCCACACGGGGAGGGGCTGACCCTTGTCCTGTCTTCCTTACTCTTTCCATCTCATTCATCTTTCCTCTGATCCTTTTAAGTGTCAGTTCATTTCCTTTGTCTGCTTTTCTCATTTGTATCTTCTATTGCTTTTATTATGTTTATTATGTTCTCGATAGCAACTCTTATTCCCTGCTCCTGGTCCAGTTTATCTCCCTTTCCCTGAGTTTTTTCTCCTTTTTTGCTGTATCTTGTTTTGCCTTGCCATTTTTTTACTTGAGTTGAGTTTGTCTTAGGTGGATAATCCTTAAGGTTAATCCTTAATCCTTAAGGTTATCCTTAAGGATTTTCTCTTTATCAGATTTTTTTTTTGTCTTTTTGAGACAGGGTCTTACTATATAGTTCAGGCTGGCCTTGAGCTCACTTTGTAGCCCAGGCTGGTCTCGAATTTGCAAGCATCCTCTTGCCTCAACCTCCTGAATGCTGGAATTACAGGCATGTGACACCACACCTGGTTCTCCTTATCAGATTTTATAAACCCACCATAAAAGCAAATACACTCCCCAAGGCAAAAGGTGTTAACAGATATTTCACCAAAATGTAAAGACAAATGTTATCATCAATTTTTAATTAGCTATAACTACAATGTATGATAGACAATTCTGGTGAATGTTTAGATTAAATAATTTTATCACTGTAAAAGATGTATCACCATCAAGCCCCCTCCACCACCACCCGCTCTTCAAATGCCTTGATCCCATTTTCCTGGCCACTTCCTGCAGCAGCTCTGGAGTCCTCTTTCGGGAATGTTTTCATCTATGCTGCCTTGGTGTCCTTGTTGTCTTGAATTGGTCCCAAAGATTTCCTTTCCGTGGTTACTTTCATCCTGGGGAAGAGGCTGAAGTCTCACCATGCCAGGTCCAAGGGACAGGGCGGATGAGGACATACCAGAATGCTTTTCTGAGCATTCTGACATTTTTGTTGGATGGTGCTGGGCAACCGATCACACCTTGCAAAGGCACACAGGAAAGAATCTTCTGGAACTCTTTCAGAAAGTAACAAACTGTGGGAAGCAAAGGGGACTACACTGAGGAGATTTAAAGCAATTTGTGTTTTACTGCAATAAATCTTAAAAATTTAAACGGTCACCATCCATTTTAACCATGCCTTGAACATTCACACAACACGACTGCTTTATGCTTATTACAGGAGAAAAGCATTTTAAAATGCTAACGTCAGTCCTGTGCAATACTATGACCCCAGGCTTTGGAAGCCGACCATCCTCTTGTGCTTGTGGTGGGTTCCTCAGCTGTGGGCTGGCCGCAGGCTGAAGCAGAACCACACGACGCTTGTTTTGTTCAGACGAGTGGAAAGGCTAGGTCATTCTGAAGTGGCTGACTGCCTCAGTGCTTACCATTGTTTTGTGCAAGGCGGTCCAAGCAGGATGGAGAGGGGAAGTCCCTGGGCCTCAGGTCCATCTGCATCTGGGAGAAGTGACTGCTTTTTGTGCTGGAGCAGGCTTTGTCCTGCTGGACGCCCCCCTCCGCCTCTGAGGTCTCATTTCATGCTATGCTCTTGGTCAGTCCTGAAACCTTTGCACTGTGTGCGGGGTTTGTGGATGTGGAAGTGAATTGGTCCTGTGTGCTCTTGTGTACATTTTCTTTGAAAAACTTAGGGGTTGGGTTAAAAGCAAAACTTTCTCTCAGATGAGGGGGAATAGAGGGTAATCATTACTATTATCCAGATCCCTTTCCCATTTTTCCACAATTAAAACTTATTAGAGGGACTTCGTTTAAACACAGAGGGTTCAAACCTGTAATTAACCTTTTCCATATCCTTCCCAAGTCCAGCAGAATGATGGAAAAGGAATTGGAACAAAGAGGTGTAAATGATAAACACAGAACCAAAAAGAAGAGGAAGAAGACAATGTCAGGTGAATTAAGAGCCATCTTAGAGGTTGGAGATGAAAGCAGACTCGTGAGTAGCTGAATTGGGAAGTGGGAGAATCTGGTCTGAGTGTTTCTGGAAGGGGCATCAGGACATGGACTAATGGAGCTCTGAGGGGTGGCAGGGGGCAGGCGCCGTGGTCTGGAAGTAGAGGAAGGGCTGACAGTCCTTGTGCTGAGCAGCGCATCTCTGGGCTCCCTTGTCACACTGGTACCCGGCACATGTCCCCGGGGGCAGGACCCTACTCCAAGGAGGAGGACTCTGGGCTCCCGGGTACCCCAGGCACAGTGAAAGGAATAAGGACAAGAACACGAAAGATAGGACAGATATTCCCAGGGAGAAATAACAGATGAATGTCTACCACAGCCACGCACAACGTTCCCCACACATAGCTTGTTTCACATCATGACATCATCTTGTCGGACGCACGATGTGTGCTGTGCAGCATGGGTGGCATGGGTCATGTTCACCCTGTGCCGTGTGCGAGGTGTGCATGGTGTGTGTGTGTGTGTGTGAAGGGTCGCGTGGGTGTGTGGTCCGTTTCGCTGCGTGTACAGTGCGTGTTCCATGTGTGAGTCCGTGGATGGTGTTTGTGTGTCCTTGTGCTGTGCGCTCATGTGTCGCATCTGCGTCCTGTGTGAATGGAGCCTCTGTCTAAGTGGAACGCTGTCCTCCATTTTGTTCTTGCTTCATTTCATCTCATTTCTGCATAAGAGGGCGAGGCATGCAGATTTTACCTAATTTTTATCATCTAAGGAATAGGGGCAAGGCTGAGGCAGGTTCTGATCTCAGGGGTGGAGTGCATAAACTTTCTTGCTTTTGTTTTTCTTTTTCTGGTACCAGGAATCGAACTCACGACCTCAGGCGTGCCATGCAGGCTCTGGGCTGCTGAGCTACATCCCCCACCATTGCTTTTGCTTTTCTAACAAGCAAGGGCCCTCGACGGGTTTTTGCTATGCCAGCTTTACTTTGGGACACCTGTAGATTCTGGAGGAGCTGCAGCTGGGCCAGAAAGTCAGGCTGGGCCTTCACCAGGCAGCTTCCTCTCATGTCGCCACCTCACAGGGCCATGGCACTTTTCTCCAAACCAACAACCTTGAGTTCGTGACACTCTCAGCTTGTGCATGTACATTATTGGGATTTCTCCAGCTTTTCAGTGAAAACCTTTTCTGTCCTGGGGTCCCACAGGTCACCTCTCCCCTTCAGTCTGGGACTCCTGCTCCACACCTGTCCTTGAATTCCATCACCTGGGCACTGTAGGATCTCTCCTTCCTGACTCTGCCCTTGTCCCCTCCCCATCCTGTGTGGCCCTCACTGAGGCTAGGCAGGGAGGGAGGTGGACAGGGGCCGGACTTTCCTTCTGTACTTGGCAATCACAGCTCTGCATGGCTGGGCTTTGCGGGGTTCAGGGCTTCTTCTCCTGCAGACGTCTGTGGGCTTTCAGGGGCTCTGCTGTGGGGTAAATGGTAGCTTCCTAGAAGGTGGGGCTGCACCTTAAGCCCAGAGGGTATGGCTGTTCCTACATGGCACAAAAAGCAAAACAAAGCAAAGCAAACCCAGGAAGTAAAGGATGCTGGAGGCCGGAGGTGTCCTGGGTCCCAGGTGGCTCAGCAAACCTCGCCTGTTCCTGGGGCGAGAAGGTTCAGGGGGAGGTGTGGGGCTGGCACTTTCACCCATACGCCTGGCTGTGCCTAAGCCACAGGAGTGGGAGGAAGTGGGGGAGGGTCCTGTCCTCCCCAAGCCTGGGGACACCAAGTCAATGCAGGTTCAGTGGAATCCAGTGAACCCTGGCACCTGGGCTGAGCCCCAGTCCCTCCCCAGGCTGCTGCCCTGAACAGGCAACTCACTTGAAATGATCTCTGGGATGGTTCTTCCTGACATGGGTGCCTGGGAAGGCCTGAGGACATCCAGGGATCGGGACCTAGAGGTGGCCTTGGGGTGCTGCCTGAGTTACTCAGTTGGCTCTGGTCAGCCTGCAGACCCCTCCTTTTTTTTTGCCCCTTCGGTCCCTCTCTCCCTCCCAGCATCTCTTATTGAACTCTGTTTGGGGGCAGATGTGGAGACTGACCCCAGGGCCTTTGCACTGTGCCAAGCCTCCCCCCCCACCATTATAATTGTTTTTCTTGTGAGATAAGTTGACCAGGCTGAGAATGCACTTGGAAATTCTCATCCCAGCCTCTGAGGGTGCTGGACCACCTCACCTTTAAAAAACAGTATTTCCATCTGTCTGTGTTTACAGTACATAATGAGTGCCCTCACAGTGTGAGTTGGTGTATAATCCCACCACTTACCAGGCCCTTCATTAGGCTCTGCATGCAGCCCCTTTTGTTTGTACACTCAAAGGGTTTTTAATTTTTTTTACTAGTACAGATTTGCAATGCCTATGGTTTACAATTGTCTCAGGGAAGAGATGCAGGTATATAGTACAGGTTACAGGACTCAGGCTTGCCTTCAACATACTCTGTAGGCCAGGCTGGCCTCACTCTCATGAGGATCCTCCTGCCTCAGCCTCCTGAGTGCTGAGACTACAGACATACTAACATGCCTGGCTTTGCAAATGAAGTTTCAGCTTACTAACCTCACTTTCAGAAATCTAGCCCAAAGGAATATGATGACTTTTGTGTCATTACATGTTTGTAAATAGCAATAAAGTAAAACAAAATAAAATCAATCTCTACATAGTTTAAATAACAGATTGGTTTAAAACATTGTCTTACATTTGTATTTTTTTGGCAGCTACCAAGAATGATTCTGTGTGTATTTATCAACACAAATGATATCTACATATATTTCAGATAAAAAAGAAAGGTAGCAAAACTACATATATATATATATCTCATAATGCTTAGAGATGTTTCTTTTTTGTTTTTTTAAAATATATATGTATGTATGTATACCTCTACACAGAAAAGATACCTGGCAAAATGTTGTTCTAGTTTTTGACACTGGTTATTTAGGAACTGGTCTTGTAGAAGTGAAGATTTCTTTTCCATGGTCTTCAGTATTTGCACTATTTTCCTCAACAAACAGGAATTCCTTTCACAGTAAAAAAAGCTTATAAACTTGGTAATTCTGGAGCAGACGGGCAGTGGCTGTGACGGGCAGTGGGAGAGAGCACAGAGGCACACGTGTGCCTGTGGCCCCAACCCACGTGGGATTTGGCCCTTGGGAGCGTGTGCTGGTCCCTAAGGAGAAGCCACACTCTTCTGCTATGTCCTCTAAGGCAGCCAACTCTCCAGCTCAAGGTGCTGCTGGTGTCACAGAAGTGTCACAAAGCTCCAAAAATCTCCATGCAAATGGATCGTCAGAAACACCGGAGACTCAGGGTCCTGCAAGTGCCTCCAGATTCTAAATTCCCAGATGCAGATCATGTGGATTCCGTGAGATCAGCTTTTCCCCAGTGCTGTGATTTTTTAAATTCCCACCACAGTCTCCAGGTCCTGGGGAGTTCAGGGTCTTTGCAAACTCATTTTCTTTTTCACTGTAGAAAATCAGTCCTTTTCTTTGTCTGTCTTTTTGAAACACGGTTTTGCTATGCAGTTCAACTGGCCTTGAGCTCACTTTGTCAACCAGGCTGGTTTTGAACTCACAGTGATCCTCCTGCCTCAGCCTCCTGAGTGCTGGGATTGCAGGTGTGAGCCACCACACCCTGCTGGTCTTGTGATCTTTTTCCCACTCACCTTTTACAAAAATACCCTGCTCACGTGCCTGCCCCATGCGTGCTCGGACAGCTAGGCCATTGCCAGACCCAGGGGAACCTGACACTTCCAGGTCAGGGTCCTGAGAGATTCCAGGCCAGGAGCTCACATGACCCTGAGCCCTGATCCAAGGTTGATGCAGTGGGAGGCATCTGATAGCATGGATGGGAAATTTCTGCATCTCTTGGGCCATTCCCATTCGCCTGGAGCATGTGCTTCCTAGACGCCTGCCCTGGGGGTTCCACCGCCATTTCCCAGTTCCATGCCTGCACATTCCTGCAGGAATCTCCTCGAAGCAGGACTCTTGCCGAGGCTCCACCCACCTCGCGACTCACTGGGCTTCCCTGAGTGGTTATGCTCCCTTAGCGAGGTGGCCTCGGGGCCTCCTGGCACCATCCTAGCCACATAGACCCAGGCAACAATCAGCAATCAGTTCATCCATCCCGGTTACACGCACCTTTTATTTCTAGCTGGCCTGCTCTGCTATGGCTTTCTGCAGCTCTCTGACTTGCAGGAACGCCAGCTCTGTGATCTAATACGCCACCCCACCCCACCCTGGTTTTGCCTCAATTCCTTCCTCCCTTGCCCGGTCTCTCAATTCTTCGACCCTTTCTCTTCTATAGCCTGACTACATACACCAAAACTCCAGCCCTGGCTGACCCCAGGCCCAAGCCTCCAGCCCTTCTCTACCTTCACCTGCTAGAAGCTGGAAGTCACTGGCACCCTGTGCCCCTGGCTAGAAGGGTCTTGGTGAAAATCAGTGACCACAAGGGACCCACCCCGAGTGACCACCCCTCCCCGATGCTGCTGCTGTAGTTTCAACCGATCTTGGAACTTACACTTTCCCCCCTGCTTGCTTCTCCCCCACCATGGATCTGGATCAGCAAGTGAGGGACAGGGGTACCCCCTAACCCCACTGCCATGTCTGCACGCCCTTCTCTGCCCTCAAGCCTGCAATGCCACCTCCTTCTTGAAGGCAGCGCCTGGCCTCCCGGGCAGCAGCCTCTCCCTGCCTCGCCTGCCCCAGCCTTTCCTTCTGAGGTTCTCTGCTCCTCAGTTTTGGCTTTGCTGGCTCCACACTCTGTTCTCTGCCATCTGCAGAGAGACCTCAGGGACCTGTCTGTCACCCTTCTCCAGCGACACCAGGGTGAGATGTCTGGAGGATGTGGCTGAAGTTTGTTGCTGTCTCTTGCATGTGATCTACTTTTCATTTTTTAAAAGTATGAACTGTGCAGTGAAAGATACCGTGCCTTTAAGAGTACATAGGACAACTGTAGTAGTATAAATTTTCATGGATTCCTATAGAGACAAGCAGTTAGAAATCAGTGCCGAAAACGGAGTATTACTAGCATGGTAGAAGCCTCTTAGATGAGGCTTCTAATACATATTTCTTTGCCTTCGCACACAAATGCAATCACTTTCCTACATTTGTGATGATCATCTTTATGTTGTTAAAAATCTTTACACCTTCCAAGATGCACATTTCCTAATTTATTTAGTAAAATGTTATGTATGTATTCTAAAGCAGGCTTGTCTTGCTCAAACTATGTTATTATGATTTTATTGTTGAAGTATGGAGCTAAATGCATTATCTGAATACATCTAGATTGCTTATGTCTTCTTTTACCATTGAAGAATATATGGGTTGTTCTAGATTTTTCTTTTTGCATAATGCTTCTCAGAATGTTATTTTGCATATTTTATGCACAAGACATCCTCTAAGGATGGATCTGGCGGGTAATAAGGTTTAAGCTTTGGGATTTAGTTAAATATTGCGAATGTACACTGTTCCAAGCATTCTGTGAACATTTCTATTGCTCCATGAAATTGGCAACCTTAGTATTATCAGATGTTTGAATTTTTCACCTGTTGGATATGAATGCCAGTTCACTGTGGTTCTGATTAGCACTTCCTAAGTTGCAAATAAGGTTGGCTCTCTTAAATGTTTATTAAATATTTGGCTTTATCTCTGTTAAATTCCAATTTACATCTTTTTGGTCATTTGTCCTTTGTTACTAAGTGATGGGAGTGTTTTATAACTTATGGTGGCAATTGTATGTTTATTTAAAACGCCTTTGGTGCCTTTCTGCCTTTAATTTTTATTTTCCTTATGGCATGCTTTGACCAACAGTCAAAATATGTCCTTCATTGTAACATAACACAATTTACCAATTGTGTCTTTTAGAAGTGATTTTTGTGCCTTGCTTTAGAAAATCCTTCCTTATCTTGAGGTAATAAATGTCTTCCCTATTTCTCTCAAAATTTTGTCTTTCACATTTAAAGTTTAATTTGTTAATGAAACATAAATGGAGAAATTGTACCAGTTAAAATATAAAGGCTGAGATTTTAGAAATTCTGTTATATGTGCTTAAATTATCAAGATCTACAATCAATTCATAACTTCATTGTTGACCCAGAAAACTTAAGGGTTTGTAAATCTGGTTCATTCTTTAAACCTTTTCTTACCCTGTCATGAGTACGGTGTTGCTTTTTTGTGTTACCAGTTTCCTATTCACCTGTTTCCTGCTGTTCTGTTCTGTAGTTCTTCCTTCAAGTGTTCTGAGTCACCTGCTTCTGCCTTGGGTTTCCCTGTACTGAGGGTTTCCAGGGATAATCTGTCATCTTGTCTGAAAATATTTTTGTTTTTCTTTTGTTCTTTTTTTTTTTTTGTCTTTTTCCTTTTTGAAAGACATTTTCACCCATCTAAAATTTAATTTACCTTTTGGTTTATCATTCTTTTGTCTACTAGTATCCATTGTTGTTACTGAGAAGTCATCTCAAAAAGTCTGACTGCCATGCCGTTAAAGGTATTTATCTTTTTGTTTTTGATGACATTTTACGTATAGAAAATCCTAAAGTGTCCAAAAGAAACTGTTAAAATTAATAATTTAATTCTGAAAAGCTGCAGGATACACAACATACAAAAATCAATTTCATTTCTCTCACTAACATGAATTACCAGAAAGAGAAATCAAGAAGAGTTTCACTTCTAATAGTGCAAAACATAGAAATAAATTTTACCTGGAAAACAAAAGGTGGTGTTATGGTTTATGGATAGCTGTGCCCCCAACAGCTCATGTGCAAGATGGGCCCCTAAAAGGGAATCAAAACATGGGGTGCCCATTTCAACAAGAAATCTACCAATAACAAATGCTGTGGGGAAAAAGGAACCTGTCTCCACTGTTGATAGGAGTGCAGATCCGTGCAACCATTGTAGAAATCATTGTGGAGATTCCTCAAAACACTAGGATTGGAGGTCCCATTTGATTTAGTTATTCTGGATATCTTCCCAAAAGAATTAAAAACATTTTACCACAGCAATATATGTGCATCCATATTTACAGCAGCACAACTTGTAATAGCTAAATCTTGGAAGCAACCCAAATGCTCATTAGTGGAGGAATGGATTAAAATGATGTGGTATTGTTATACTATTCAGAAGGATAGACTGGAGCCATCTTAGGTAACTGGATGCTACTTGAGATCATACTCATAAGTGAAACAAATCAGACATGTGTATAAAGATTGTATTGTTTCATTGGTGTGAGAAACTGAAAGAGTAAATAAGTTCTAAAATGTACAATAGATATTGTGAAATGTAAGAAATCATTCAAAAGGAAAAGGAACTACGATGGGTGAAAGGGGAAAGGACATGGGGAAAAGGGGAAAATGCAAGTCAGTTAGCATCTCATTGAAAAGGAAGGTTTGTGCTACTGTCCTTTTTACTATTAAAATTTTAATTTATTTGTTTTATTTTGAAGGCTATAAAACACAACAAAAGAAAACAAAACGGTGAGAACAATATTGGATTTCAAAAGCAAGATAGAAGGAAATCCTCCAGTTACTATATTGCATACTGTTATGTGCTAAGCAGAAGCTTAGACTACCGGCCCCAGGCCTGCAAGGTCAATCAGTCAGTACAAGCATTACATTGTTTTTGTACCTCAGTTGCTATCATCCCAGCCTGTGTTCCTCTAAATCTACCAGCTGGCTCACAGGAAGGCCACTTCTTGGTTCTTTTCTTGGCCCGTGGCTGCTTCTGGTTCACTGGATATGCTAATATTGACTGGAGAAATTTTTATGCCCATATCTTGTACCTTGAACAACTGCTTCAAAGATTACAACATGTAATGTATTAACTATTGTTTTTCTCCTATCATTTTGTTATGAAACTTTGTTTTACCTTTTTTCCATTAAGAAAACATAGGGTACTATAGGTAAATGTGATGCTAGGAGATGGGGTCTTGTCACAAAATGGGGTCACTGGGGGTCTGACCTGGGACAGTTCCTCTCTGCCCATCTCCCAGCTTTTCTCTCTGCTTCCTCTGCACCACAGTGTGAGCCACCTCCCTCCGCCTAGCCTGTCTACCTTGCTTCTAAACATATAAGGACTGAAACTTCTGAGACAAATCCCAATGAATTTCTCCTCCTTTAGGTTGTGGTGTTAGGTATTTTGCCTCATCAATGATGAAAATAACTGAGATACATCTTTACTTTGAAAACATTAAAATGCTAGTGAAACAAATTAAAAAAAACATGAACACTTGGAGAGATAACCCGTGTTCATGGGTTAGAAGAATCAATATTTTTTGAACAACCGTACCGTCCAAAGTGATCTACAAATTAAGTGCAATCCTTATCAAATGGGTAATGATTTTGTCACAAAGATAAGAAAAAGGATCTCAAAATTGCATGAAACCATGGAAACTCCAAATAGTTAAAGCAATGCTGAGTGACAGGAACAAACAGGCACCAAATGTTGCTAATTCCAAGATCTACAACAAAGACATAATCCAGACAGAATGGCACCAGCATAAAAAGACACAGAGACCAAGGGAACAGAAGAGAGAGCGCAGAAATAAATCCACCCACTTATAGTCACCTGGTTTTCAATAGTTTCCAACAAGTCACCTTGCAGAAATCTTCAATACTTGATGTTGAGAAAACTTGATATCTACATGCAGAAGAACAACACTGAACCCTTATGTCATGAATTCAGAATGGAGAGACTTGAAATCTTAAAACAATTAGGAGAAAATATAGAGGAAATGCTATTTGACATTTGTTTGGTGAGTTTTTAATGGAAATAATAACAAAGACACAGGCACCAAAAGCAAAACACAGGCAAATGGGGTGGCGTCAAACAAAAATGCTTCCTGTCTAGCAAAAGAAGCAATGTACACAGTCAAGAGCCATCTGTGGAATGGGAGAAACTCTCTGTACTCTGTGTATCTGATAAGGCATTAATATCCCAGATCTGTAAGGACTTCAGATAACTCACTAGCATGAAAATAACTCTGTTAGTGAACTGAAAGGACAAATAACTGGAATAGATATTTTTAGAAGGCTTATAACCTGGAAATGTAGCTTAGTGATAGAGGGAAGCCCTGACTTCAGTTCCCAGCACCAAGAAGGAGGAAGAAGAAGTGAAGGAGAAGTAGGAGGAGGAGGAAAAGGAGGGGGATGAAGAGAAGGAGAAGTACAAATGGTCAACACTTAAAAATATATTCACTATCAAGAACCAATAGGGAAATAAAAGTAAAACCACTGTGGTTTCCCTGCGCACCTGCACACTGTTGGAAAGATTTGAGATGAGTTGTTGGTGAGGATGTGGCAAAAGGGAACCAAGTAAATTGTTGGTGGGTGTATAAATCGGTGCAGCCATTATAGAGAATTGTACGGGGTGTCTTCCAAAATTAAATAGAGCTGCCGTCTAATCTAACAACCCCACTCTTGAGTTTATTCCTCAAGGAGATTAACTTAGCATGCTGAGGAGACCCCTGCACTCCTGTGCTCACCGCAGTGTTATTCAAGTTGTCAGGACATAAATCAGCCCAAGTGTTCATTAACAGATGGAGGGGCGAGGGAATGCACTCACCATGGGATGTTACCCAGCTTTTAAAAAGAAGGCACTCCTATCATTTGTGCCAATATGGATGAGCCTGGGAGACCTGGTAGTTGAAGCAAGCCAAACATAGGCAAAACCAGCATGATCTCCCTTATACACAGAGTATAATACATTTGAACACATTAGAAGCAACATTTAAGCAGGGCATGGGGGCACACACCTATAATCCCAGACCTCTGGAAGGCTGAGGCAGGAGGATCACAATTTTGAGTCCTACTTGGGCAACTTAATGAGGCCATGTATCAAAATAAAAAATAAAAATGACATAATGAGAAGGGCGGGATATATCTCAGTGCATAGGCCGGAGGGAGGTTCAATTCCCAGTCCTGGAAAAAAATCAAAGCATAGCGGTGATTGCCAAAGCCCGGAGTATACTAGGGGAATGGAGAGATGTTAGTCAGAGTATGAAATTTTAGTTTAATGAAATGAATAATTTCTGCAAATCTAATGTATGGCTTGATGACTATAGTTAATATGGTATTGTATATATAAAATTTACTAAGTGCTTAGATCACCACACATACACATAACTGTGAAGTGGTGAATGTGTTATCATGGGAGTCATTTATATATGTATATGTAATATATGTAATGACATTCTATACTATAGATATACACAATTTTCCTTTGCCAATTATCCTCCAATAAAGCTGGAAAAGTATGTTTTTTGTCTGGTTTCTCTTTTTAAAAATCTATATTCTCTTTGGTGAGGCTCAGTTTTGTTATGGTTGTCTAGCTATGCATTTTTTAATTTATCCTGGCTGGCATTTATTGATTACTTACATATATGTGTTGATGTCTTTGTGGAAAATTCCCGGTATTTCCTCTAACAGTGCTCACTTTTTTGTCTTTCCCTCTGGATCACTACTGAGCAGCAGTTGAACAAACACCAGTTTTTCTGGATGCACTTCTTGGGGCTCCTCCTTCATTTCCACGTTTTACAGGAAATGAAGGGTAGATAGGCATTAAAAGAGCAAATCTGGGGGAGCACAAACACCTTGCAGTGGATGAGCCCGTGGCTACCTGGGAAGCTCTGAGCCTGCAGGGTGGAGGGAGCTGGAGATGCTTAGGGGCCTCAGCCAAAAGGAGGTAGGAAGCCACCCAGGACTAGGATGGTGGTCAGCCTGGTGCCTGTATGCCCTGGCCCAGAGAGTGGACTGGGCAAAGGCTGGAACAGGTGTCAAGAAACTAACAAAGCTTCTGTGGAGTCCTGGCCAGAAATGTCAGCTTGGGGAGGAGCAGGGAGCAAAATTGGCTGTCAGGATGCAGAGAGAGACACTGGAAGGTCCCCAAGCTACAATACCCTTTCTAAGAATGCACCCCAAGACCCAACTTCCTGCCAGCAGGCTCTGCCCCCGCAGCCCCTCCCCCCACAGCAGCACCTCAGACTGGGAATCTTCTTCCACTGAGGCATCAGAGGAGCATTTGGCTGACAAACCACAGCAGCATCCTTCCCTCGCGTTCCACCGCTTCCCTCAGTCCTGCCGCTGAGTCTTCCTCACCAAGCCCACACCCTGCACAAGGACACAGACTCACTCTCCACATCCACAGTCCTTGGGCACCATCAGTTTCCTTCTGTGCTCGATTGTGGGAACTAACCTCTCCCATTGGAGAAAGATCTGCTTGACCCCATGCATTCCACTGCTCTCTCCCAGTTACAGTGTCCATGCTCCAAAGAGTGGTTTATACTGCATCCACACTTCCTCCATCCCTTTCTCTACAGAACACACTCTCTAGGTGTATGGTCCTGCCTTATCATGGATCCTGTTTTCTGAAGTGACATTGCTAAAGGCAAGTAGGCCTTGGCTAGTTGCAAAGGACATAAGGGCATAAATGCCCAGCTCCTTGCCCAAGAGACATGGAGCCTCCTTTAGCAGCAGGCAGAAGCTTTTCTCTAGCTGAAACCAGCCTCATCTGTGATGGCTTCGTCACTGTACTCCCTGCTTCCTGTGCTTCCCTGATCCTGCTCCCAGTGAGCCCCTTGAAAGCATATCTTCTCAGGCTCTACTGCTACGCAGTCCACCTGGAGACAGTTCTTCTGTGTTCTGCTCAGATGTTTGGAGAATGGTCTTCCTCATTTGTGTCAAATGCAAACTTTTCTAACTATGATAACCAGCCTTTATCAAGATACCAGCCTGTCACATGTCTGCTTTCTAGATGCAATTAAGAAGTCCTGTTTAGGTCCTTCTGTCTGACAGAGAGACAAAGGAGTCCTGAGTGGTTTGCCAAAGACCCTATCTTTTCTAGGGACTTCTATAGAGCAAAACCACTAAGCAAAGTGAGTCCAAAGTGGGGAAAAATGGGAACTCACAAAGTGGCCATGAGGTGAGACAGAATTATGGTCAACCAATAAGATCATGAGTATAACTGCTCCAGTAACATTGATTAAATTGGGATCCAATAGGGAGGTGAGTCACATAACAAGGGGACAGGCTTAAAGAGTAGTGACTCTTCTTATAGGGGCTTGGGATGGTGACTTCTGACTCCCTCCAGGTGATCAAGGCATCAAGGCACCAACGTATTACTTAGAATATCAATCCCTCATCTTTATACTTAGGGTGTGGTTGCATTTGGTTTGTCTTCTTGAGATCTGGTCCACAGGAAGTCTCTATCTCCTCTAACATTGTAAGATATCTGGTCTTCTGTACTGGCTCCTTTGAGGGTCCAGCCCTGTCAGACTGCCTAGAATATGTCTACCTAACTCAGCTGCCTAACATTCCCCTCCCCGCAGAAGCAGCAGGCTGACTGCTGTAAGGAATATGGCCTGCCGGTAACTGAACTGGCTTATTTAGGCTGAAGGGGTGGTAGTTACTGGTCCACAGTCAGGGATCCTCTGCAGAGGGTCTGTCTAAAGGCCCTCCATGGATGCCAGGCATTTCCATCTTGCATAGGTGTACCTGCTTGAAATTTAGCCAGGGGCGGTATTCCATAAATGGTTTGTAATGATGGAACTGCTCAGTTCACACCTTGCCTTGGATTGTGACTGGTATCTTCTGCCCTCTGTGATCTATAATTTTGCATGTATGCTGATTTCTACTTCCACACAAGCAGGTCATAAACTAAAAATGCCAAACTTCTGGGCCAGGGCATAGTTCAGGAGCACAGCACCTGCCTGGCAAGTGCAAGGTTCTGAGTGGGATTCCCCATACCAAATGAATAAATTAATAAATGATGCCAAGGTTTTTCATTCTAAAAGATCAGCACATTGACCACAGACAAAGGACCTAGACCAGGTGTTTTCACAAGGCAACAGGCAGTTGGTGGGGTCCAGGACCACATGGGTGGCAGGGGTCCTACTGGCCCTTCATGACTGCCATTTCAGGCTGCAACCTTTCATCAGGTGACACAGAAGCAAGACTTTGTCTCAAAAACAAAAGACACTATACAAGAGGAATTATATATTCAATGTTGTTCCAATGGGTAGAATTTAGATCAATGGATGGAAATTAAAAAGCACGACACATGCATAGAAAAAACAAATGCCTACCAACCAGAAGCTCGTTGCCACCCCCAAACAAACCAAACTGCCTCAGAAATGGGTTTAACCTTAGTGCATCCCTGAGGTAGTTTAGGTTGGCCTTAAACTCATTATGTAGCCTAGGCTGAACTTGTGCCTCAGCCTCCCAAGTGTTGGGATTGCAGGTATATACCAGGCAGTTCCTGTTCTACAGTAGAATGGCCTTACAACATTTGAAAATAACTATTGTGCTGTTTCTTTGACACATATTTTTCTGGGCCTATTAAAATCCCACTCCTTTCAGTGTACTGTGGCTCATTTCTGTCTCATCTGCTGCCCCAAGGACTTCTCTTCCGGGCCTGTGTCCCAGTCTGTCCCCCCCTTAGCCAGCACCATCCCCATTTGAGCAATGCATTGTCCGCCTAGGGCTCTCCAACTCTGCTATACTCAGTGTACCCCATTTTCATGAGAAACATTTTACAACATCTCCTTTTCCCTTTTAAAATAAAATTCATTGATGATGTGACTTTTTTATACCTCTAGTAAAATATTAACAGAGACATAAACAGCGTGCAATTTGTAATAAGGGAATGGATTTTAACACAGGAGTGCTTGAGCCGTGTGTTGGGGCTTCCGAAACAGCTCACAGTCAGCGACCTTGTCCCTTGGTGTCCTCCTCTCCCTTTGGGCATCTTGCTTAAACTGACACAAAGGATGGATGTCATTTCCAAGGTGACACTGCAAAATCTGTGACCCCAACCCCTCCTTCTCAGTCAATCTCTTTCTCTTACCTTCTCTCTGGTTCATTTGCTTCTGCTCATGAAATAAGCTGCCACACCTAAAGGCCAGGCAGAAGCGAGCCACGCCCAACAGCCACTGTCAGCAAGGAGCCCAGCTCTCAGTCCAAAGCCCACAAGAAACTCCAGTCTAAGGTCCATCGAGAGCCATGTGGGAGCTCAGGAGGGGGCCCGCCCCTGGTGGGAGGAGCCTGCATCCCAGCAGCAGGCAGCTGAGTCACAGCCACAGCCAACAGACTGAATGGCCTGGTGGTTTCTGCAGGGAAAACCCAGGGACCTGCTAAGTCATCCCCGGGGTTCTCTGCAGAAACCACCAGGCCATTCAGCGCTGTTGCAATAGGCCACGACATTTCAGGAAATCTGTCATGTAGCAGCAAAGAACTAACGTAATAACGATGAAGCAGTGACCGGCTTGCGTCTCTGTTTAGATAAGGACTGGGGTTTAAGAGAAGTAAGGTCAGGAGTCTATCTAAGTGGCAAGATCTAGATGCGGAAGGAGTGGAGAGCTGAATAGATAACTGAATTTTTAAAAAAAATGTTGGATCAAAACTAGTTATCCCAGTGTCGATCAAAAACAAGACAAAAACCAAAAAATCAGAGCAACATGATCCACAACAGCCTGTCTGCATCTACCCACTTTCCTGCCACGTGTTCTAAGTCAGAAGTCCTGGATAGCATCGGGTTCCACACCTTAGCTCCCTGGTGAGTGCTGGGACTTCCCAGGGTCTCTGTGCATTCAGGTGATGATAGTTCTAAGATACTTGTTATCAGTGCTTTTTGGGTTTTCCTCCCCAAACATGTGTTACCGATTCAGCTTCAGTGTCTCCTTGCCTTCTGAGCCACAGGGCGCCTGCTTTTCCCCCTAGGTGGACAAGGTCCTTTCTTCCCAGATGGCCACAGAAAGTCTTGAGGAGGCTTCTAAGGCTGGGTGGAAAACATACCTTGGATAACACTTGGAAGTAAGCACTTATGGACTGAATGGCTCTTCACTCAAATTTGTGTGTGAAACCTCCTGGGTGACTGCATATGAAGGCAGGATCCATGAGGAGGCAACTGAGATCACCGCATGGTCATGTGGTACCTGCCTCCTCCCTTCCCAGGCACCCCCAGAAGCTGCAGATATAGGTAGTACAATAACCTTACCAGTGAGCACAGTGTTACTTGTTATTTATAAGTGCAGGGACAGTGTCTGTTTGTGCTATGATATGGGTCAGAGTAATGAGAGATGGACTCTCTCAAAACACAGCCACCCTTCATTGTGACGCACACATCAACTTATTTCTGAATGAGATTTACAGAAGTGGTGTGGACCCAGACTGTCTTTGAGCACTGCTCCCCACACAGCAGGGTATCTGCTGTTCCTAGTTCCTGACTACTAAATCCCAGTTATTCTTCTCTGATCACTTGACAATCAAAGATATTCCCATTCATTTTCAATATTGCTTTCTCAGTGATGGTATGACCAGTGAGAATTGCTTCTTTGTTATCTCCTTAAAAATTCACCAGCAGTTCTTACGAACTCCACTGTTGAACAAATCTTGCCATCCTCTTCATTACTCCATGTGTTTCTGCAAGACTCTGCTGTTAGTGCAGAGAAGGGCTAGGAGCTAGTCCTCAGTCAGCTAGTGCAATGCAGTAAGCTGGTGGCTGTTCCAGTGACTGGTGTGGGACGCAGAGTCAGGGACACATCACAGAGCCTTTGGTGAATATCTTGGGAAAGAATGTAAGTGAAATCAGCACTTCCACTTTAGGAAAGAAGACCCAGGTAACTTAGGACTCTGAGTATCCACTGCATCCTGACGATGGCCACTGACACCAGCAGAGTGGCCTCTCCTTGCTAGAATCTCAGTCGCACTTCCAAAAAGATTTTCTAACAAACTGGCAGCTCCTGGCTATGAGACTGAACCTGCAGATCAGAGGGTTCTGAGCCCCCTGACACAACTGCTCTGAGGTCATAGCATTTCCTTTCTGTAATGCAGTGTTAGGCAAAAATTCAATGTCTGGACCTTGGATTGAGATCCAAAAAAAAAAAAAAAAAAAAAAGAAGTAAGAATATACCAATTATAAAAACTGTCTCATAGAATATGTTTTTGGGGTGGGGTATGTGGTGAACCCATCACTGATGGCTGAATCAGTCACCCTCCTGGTTGAGGGCAGTGCAATCCTGGGATCTCATAGTTGCTATCTGGTGCTGAGATCACAGACATTTCACATCAGGAGCAGCATCAACATAGAAAACTGGGACCCGAGGCTTGAACCCCTGTGGTATCTCCATCCCTGCACCTGTGGCTGCCCTGGTTGTGTCCCTTTGGGGCAGAAATGTATGAGCCAGTGACAGTTAATGACTTTGTTTGCTGGCTGAGTCCCTCCATGTCCTGGCTATGAGTGGCTCTGCTCTGGTGTGTGTGTGCAGGAATGTGAATGTCTCATCTTCTAGCCTTGCCCATTTAGGTCCTAGATCAACTCATGGATCCAGTCATAGCAGCCTGTGAATGGTGAATGCTTAAATTAAAACATTATCGCAGTAAAAGACACATTGCTACAGATAGCCTTGAAAGTACTGCTCTTTCAACCTCCACCGAGTGGCTTTCATGGCTGCCTTGATGTCCCAAATGGATTAAACACATGTGCCTTTCCTGTCCATTTTGACTTTGGGGAAGAACCATCAATCACACTGTGCCAGATTCAGTGACTAAGGTGGATGAAGACATGTTTTTATGAGCCTGACTTTTTATTGGATCACTTTGGGCAACAGATAGCACTTTGTAAAGACACTCATGGAAGAGGACTCCAGAACTGCTGCAGAACATGGCAAGAATGATGGGATAAGTGTGTTCAAAGTGAAGGAGAGTATTTAGAGGGTGATAAATAGCAATGTGTCTTTTACTGTGACTGTTTTTAAAAAGTTTTAAAATTTTAAATATTAGTTTTAAAAATTTTAAATAAGTATATTTTCCAATCACCCTGTATATTTTAGCCATAGTCCATTTCCTGTACCCCCCCCCAAAAGCAGATGGAAATGTGTACCATTCAGAGTTCTGCATCATGGGAGAATGCTGCCACAGGGATTTCTTTTGGGCAGTATCTGAGCTGACCCACACAGAGCAGCAGCCCATGTTTACCATGTGCCCCAAAGAAAGCAATACGTTCATGTACCAAGCGTGACTCCACGCACTAGCCTGCCCCTGTGAGATGGTTAGGAGCCCCTCGCCTTATTCAGCCTTAGGTGTAGCCCAAAGGAGGCAGCCAAGAGCAACAGTGGTAGGAAACATGTAGGTCTGGGACACTTGTTCTTCAGTCCTACTCGTAACTGACCCTAAGCGTACCACCTCCATCTTACTTAGGGTCACAGTCGTGGTTATTTGTTCTCATGAGCTGGTGAACTCAAACCCAGTTCACGATGAGTCACTGTGACTGCAGGACACACATAGGGTATTGTAGTCAGCTGCTATGTCTTGATCAGAGCCTGGTTGCAGAGCAAGAGTGGGTTTGCAAGAGGAATATATGAGTAATTCTCATTGCAGCCAGCAGGGTCTTTCTCTATACTCTGAGGACTTACATTGAGTTCTACTGAGTCCCATCGCAAATTCCAATTACACATGACACTTTTTCCCACCAAAAGCTCACAGAGCATACCTAACACATGGTCAGTCCCACAGAACTTAGCATGCTACAACCTGTATGGTCTGGGAACCGTGTCCTGACCATTTAGTCACTAGCCTTTGGTGTTGTCCTGTGAGTGTTTTGGGTCAGTAGGGATGAAAACCACCATCTTTAGCAAATGAAGCGGTTCTCATTATGCTTCCTTCTTAGTGATGAACAGGATGCAATTCTCCACCCTTTACTTAGGAAACAATGCCCCAGATTTCCCAAGCCACGTGCTACTCAAATCTCCAGTGATACCACAGACCTCTGTTTCAAGGGGTTACTACAATGCTCCAATGTGCATGGACCTTCATATGGCCTCCTTTTGCTCTTTCCATCTGATTGACACTATTTTACTGGTGTAGTAGGCAGTTTGATGCTCTGGAGAGTATAAGGAGGGTGGAGGTCTCCTTTTCTACATTAGAACTTAAAGAAGATTTCTGTTTCAAGAACATGGGAACTGTTTCTAATCTTCCTTACTGTGCTCTGGCAAAGATGCCCTACCTGGTACAGTGTCTGAAGTTGGAGTTATTACTAGATTGACTTTGGCATAGTCTGTGTCATGCCCTGGAATCTGTCTTTCATAGGCTCTAAACTGGTGCAATACATGTGATGCGATGGGGTGCATCAACCCTTGTATCCTTTATGGCTGTAGTGATGACACTAGTCTCTGCCATCCCCACAGGGATGTGATGGTTTTGATTTATTGACTTGACCAGAGAGAAGCTGTAGAACTTTTTATTTGGTTTTTCCAATTATAAAAGCTCTTGGCTTAGAGGCCAAGGAACTAATGTACGTGCTCTGCCAACTTTAAGTATCTCCATTCCAGTGGACCACTTCATGTTATTTCTTGTGACTAAAGGTCCCCCAAAGCCTCATGCAGTCATAGGTGGGGCTTTTTCAATGGTAGCTAGATGTAGAGTGTGTGATGCTGGCATTGATTCATGGTTCAGTGATAGGGTTAAGAGCACTAGGATAAAGGGTGCGGATGCGACCTACTCTAAGACACTGGATGAGAGACAAAGTATAGAAAGAGCTGTGATTATCCCTTGTGCCTTCTCTACCTTCTTCCCACCAAGAACTGTTTCTCCTCTGATGTCATCCTGTCTTAGAGTCAGCTGATTAGGGACTGAAATCTTTATGAACTGTGATCCAAATAAACTTTTCCTTGCTCTACTTGTGGGTGTTGGTTATTTTGCCTCAGCAAGGAGAAAAGTAGGTGTTGTTGTCAGGGGTTGCAAGGAGAATAACTATCTACAGGACACAAAATTTATAGCATTATTTATAATGGTCACCCAGAGATTGCAGGAAACCTGTCCACAACACTAAAGACCTAGAGAATCAAGCCGAGAGCCTGGATCCCACAGCAATGTCCCTCGTGAGTCCTGATGAAGACCTATAACCCATGACAGTGCCTCCCATGAGTACAATTGGAGTCTAGAGCCCATGACAATGACTTACTCATCTGTTTTACAGGT